GGGATGCTTTAGGGCGGGCGGGCCTACTGTGATTGACAGGTCTCTACCAGAGAGTTGTCTGTGTTTTCATCTTTCAACTTTAACCCTTTCACTGTGTTTCCACTTCATGAAAGTAATTTGGATCATTTCGGTCGTCTAATCACTTCATCCATGAGAGAACAGCACAGACAAGAAGTCAGACAGGAGGACAGACACGAGGACAGACAGGAGGACAGACATCTCTAACTGCCACAACAACAGTTGCTCTTCATCATTCTTCTAGTTTTCTATCTGACTCTAGAGGTCAGTAGAGAGTGTGCAGAGGTTGAGTCACTGAAGGCGTCGACTGGTTAGGTCACATTATCTTAATAACACCAGGTAATTAAACAGGGTGGGTCCTCTGTTTATTAACTGTTACTGCCCTCTGCGTAGGGCCTCATAGCTCAGTGGTTAGAGCACTGGTCTTGTAAACCAGGGGTCGTGAGTTCAATTCTCACTGAGGCCTGATCACTTTTCCAGCATATGACCTCAGCGGTTAAAGGCGACACTGAAGAGTCTTCACATTCACATGTTGTCTGACCCACTCTTCACTCGGTTCCTTTCCTCACTCCCTCTGGCTCATATATAAATCTCTAACCTCACTCTTGTGTTGTTTTTTTCCTGTTGAGCCACTTTCTCCATTTCCCTCCCTCCCTCCCTCCCTCCCTCCTTCCTCCTCCTCCTTCTTCTTCCTCCTCCTCCTCCTCCTCCTCCTCCTCCTCCTCCTCCTGGAGAGGAACCTCTCCAGTACCTCCAGAAACCCAAACAGTTTACATGCCACATGCTGGCTCCTGTACATGTTATTACACTGTTATTACACTTTAACAGAGCCTCGTCTCCTGCTGGGAATGCGTTGATGAAGCATATGATAATATGTGGTTGCACTGGTACAACATGATTAGAGTTTGTTCTTCAAATTAGGAAATATTAAGCCTATTGAACAATAAGTGCACTTAATATTTCTGTGTGCATTTTAAGCATTTATTTATTTATTCAATATGAAATGGAAATTCTGAAATCTTTCTGATGTAATCATCAAATAAGTCAATATTTTGAAGGATGAGTACAGAAATGTGCCCGTCACAGGTTTCTATTGTTTATTTAACCTTTATGAACCAAATTTAAAAGGCTTATTTTATTTGACAAGAACCCAAAAGGTATTCACAAAATAAAAGCAGCAGCTCTGGAACCAGTCGAGAACGTCACAGTTTGGTTTACGTTATCTGACGACATGTGTTTATCCAGAGACTTGCAAATTTATCTTTTAAATTGACCAAAAATACAAAATTCTTCTTCTGAAGTCGAGGTCCCGTTGGTCCAGAGGAAACCACTGGTTTGATGAATGGACACAAATAAAACTGTTTTAGAGAGAAAGAGAGATTGCTGCTTTAATATTGAAGCTCTGCTGGATGATACTAAGCCTGTGAAGTGTGTGTGTATGTGTGTGTGTGTAGTAAAGGATACATTCCCAAGATGACGGCTTCGAGACATTTGATTGGCAAAGACTCTCTGATCATCTCTCTTGCCGTCTCCATTAACCTGGGGGAAGATGAGGAGGAGAAGAGCATGGGAAGAGGAAGGGGAGGAAGAGGAGGATAAGAGAGACAATCTGTAAGCAACTTGATGAAAATCAAACAAAGACCAAAACAATACAGAGTCGGATGGTACTTTGTTGAATCTCAAACTAGTTTATCTTTAAATGTATAAATAAATGGAACCCTTGATATGCTTCAGTGTTGTGTAGTGCTGTGAGGCTCACTGGTCTCTGTAGTGTGTGTCTCTCTGTGCAGCATGTTGCCCTTTCATCAAACATAAGTTACATAAACCAGAGTATTGTGTACATGCAGAACAAATATCACTATTCATCAAGATGAACATAACAACCTCTTCTGCTCACCTGTTCTATACAAATGCACATTTATGTTGTTATTATCAGTGAGCTGACTTTAAGGTTCTGATGACTTCATTGCTGTGTTGTACTGGTTATAATTACATGTGTTTCTATAATTAAGTTTATTTATGAAGCAGACTTCAGCAAGAAGAAGGTAACAAACATTTTGCATCGAGACAAAGTGCAAAAAAACACATTAAAGATGAAATAAGTTCAAAAACTAAATGAATAATAATAATAATATTGAAATCCGTCTGCTCTCTGTTGTTGTAGGAGATTTATATTTTTTAAAGACAAAGTATTTTGTCTTAACGATCTCTCTGCCAATCAGCACCTCTATGTCTTACTTACTGTCTCCTGATGGAGACTCACCACCGGTCTCAGCTACATTCATCTACCTCGTCTACAAATGTCCCCACATGTCCTCTCACTTACCCACACAGTGGACGGCTCTTCTTGATCTCAAAGAACTGGGTTCCTGTGTGGTTGTATCTGGAGGAGACGTTAAGGACAAGTTCTCATGGACCCAAGTGCTCCTGAAGGTTCAGATGATGGGACACACGTCCACCATGTGCTGCTGTGTTTGCGTTAAAACAAATAAGAAAAGGATACTGCAGAGCCTTCATGTAGTTCTGGATGGCCACCAGCCAATCAGGGACGGACATGGACGGTCTGAAGGTCGGGACCGAGGGAACGTGATGCTGCAGAGAGAGAGAGAGAGGGGGAGGGAGGGAGAGATCATTTATCTCAGATTGACGTGTGGTAACGTTCAGAGTCTTAAACCTCTCACCGTCCTCATAAACGTGTCTTCTCGTGACTCACTGATGTTCCACCAGCTGTTCAAACTACTCTCGCATTAAAGAAGATCTCATTTACAGCTGCACTGCTACGTGTATTCATCCCATTGGACTCCTTCCAATCCACCAGGAACTGAGTAATCCATCTATTGGTGGGATAAAAACCACACAAGTGTTCTTTATCAAGAGGCAACAAGAAACATACAAAACTAAACCCGTTCAGTGCATAGGCGTCATATTACACTGTGGGTTTCACCGGCAAAAATAATCTAAATGTTATCATTTGACCGTGTTATTGTCATCTATAGTGAGAACTATAACACACAATTGACAGTCAGAAAATAAAGCTTAATACAATCTTAATATTTGCTTTGATAAATACCTTCGCCCAATAGGAGCTGCTGGCAGGAGAACTCAGTATACAGTAAGCAGAGACAAATCTGTTTCTCCATCAACATGTGTTTCTTGTTTGGACTGAAAAGCCTCTGAAGAACATTAGATAACAAAAGAATAACACAGCTCCTTCTGCTGCTAGCGGTAGCGGTAGCGGTAGCGGTGGTGGTAGATTCTGCAGAAACAGAGAAACAAACTCTGAGCACTTAATGTGCATCAGACAGCTGTGAAGCCACATGAGACAATGTGATCAACAGACGGATAAACGGGTGGTGTTGCTGTCGCAGAACGTTGGGGTTGTGTGGTGTGAGCACCACCTCAGACAGACACACTGTGATGAGAGACAGACACACAGACACACTGAGAGGAGAGACAGACACACTGAGAGGAGAGACAGACACACTGAGAGGAGAGACAGACACACAGACACACTGAGAGGAGAGACAGACACACTGTGAGGAGAGACAGACACACAGAGGAGAGACAGACACACAGAGGAGAGACAGACACACTGAGATGAGAGACAGACACACTGTGAGGAGAGACAGACACACTGTGAGGAGAGACAGACACACTGTGAGGAGAGACAGACACACTGAGAGGAGAGACAGACACACTGAGAGGA